AAGGGTTCTAACACAAAGACACCACCATGTTAAACTATCAAGCATTTTTCAAGATGGTGATGTTCTAAAGTGGATGTATTCATACACACCAATTGCATTAAAAACCATGCTTTGTGTTTCAAGGTTGGAACATTGCTCCAGTTAGATTGACAGCAGACTTGGAACAGTATGTTCTTGCATCTATGTTGTAGCAAATACAATGGTGCACAAACATTTATACAGCAAATCATATCCAGAACAATTTATGGAACAAGATTTCTAGGTTAACTCCATTAATTTAATGAATACAATCCAACCCAGTCACTTATATGCCACTTCTTCCACCAGAAAATTCAGCTTTTAATTGGAACAAGGACCAACAAAATAACAAACCATAGATGTGGAGGATGGAACTCAAAAAGCAGATATATCGGATTTCTTACAATCAAGAGCTGGCAAAGAAGCAATCAACCTAGTCTCTTTGAGTTTAAATGCTGCAATCGTCGATTAAAGCAATGTATCACGGGTACCATATGATCCGCTAAGATGGAAAACCCAATACTTCTACCAAAGCTTTTCATGAAGGTACTGTCTAGTCTACAGCTCTGCAGATGCAAACAATAAGATCCCAAAACCTACATATCCTACACTAAAATCATAAGCTAGTTAACTTTCCTCTTTCGAGCTGGATGCCTGAAGGAATTCCTTGCAACAAGATCCTTCTTTTTGGCCCAGTGCAAATGTAGAGTTCACACTAATGCTGCTTATGACTTTAGACCTGCAATAACAGAACCAAGTTCCTAGTTCTGCTAAGTCATTTGGCCTAAGATGAATAACTCCAGCCTTGGTGTGAGAGAAAAGGCATGCTTAACTTAACAGCAACAAACACCTTTAAGACATGCAATTTGAACAATTGCTCAATTGAAAGCTAAAAAATCACATTCAAACTATTTCGTCTCCTAATATTAAGTTGATTAGGAAAAATAATTAATTTCAAAAACCATTTTCTCACAAAAGACTTCCCAAACTCATAAAGCAAAGTTAAGCGAGTTATGTGTTCATCTCCAGCTCCCTATAGAGTAATACATTATACTCGAATACGTAAGGAATGAAATTTTCTTTTCACGTAAATTCGCGATATATTACATAAAACACAAGGAAACAAAGAGCATCATTCTTCAAAAGCCATCCCAGTGATCAGGTATAAGAAGCATACAAAAGTGTATTTAACTGAAGTTACATGATTGTCTATCCTGTTTCACAGTGTTAAAATAATACTACATTCGAGTTAATAACAACAACGAGGAAGCGTAAACTCATATGCGATCATACTTTTTTCATACTTATGTGCACCACATACAAGCAGTTGCTTATATGCAGCTGCGTACAATATTTATGCAATCATATAGAGTATTAAGGCAACAATGGCCATATGTGATATTGTCACATGACAGCATCTGTATATACCACTTATTTAAATTACTGATACATATGGTCAAATACTTCACAAAGAAAGAAGATAAGATAGATGATTTCTCAAGCCAACCGCCTATTAAAACATCACAATGATCATCCAGAAATTAATTAGAGACAAGATAGGCATTAGAGAGAGAACTATCCTAGCTTAACACATCAAGAAGATGCAAACCTATTGAGCTCCTATAGACAGACACTCATTCCATATTAGAGTCATGATTAGCTAACATATCCTTATGAATAACATACATTTTTCTTTTGAATTTAGGCCGATTTTAATATCTACATCCATGATAAATCATGGAGAATTTTTAGAATAATAAACCTAGTTCAAGAATCCAAGCCCATCAAACTCAGACTGATCATCATACCCTCAACCTGGCAATGTAATTCTGGATATCTGTCATCAAACTGTAAACCATATCACAACTACACCAGAAATCATTACGCAAGCAGAAAAGATAGATTATACATGAAAGAACATCAAGTAGAAAGAATAGATTTCGCATCAATTTTTGTTCTTTCCAGCTAACATCTTTACGCTACTAGAAGCCATAATAGAAACAAAGCTGACCCAAACAAGACCGAATGAAATACCAAGGCATACCTGTTGGAATGGAGGAGGGCCGCGGGCCCGCGATAGGTTTCAGGATTCCACGAATAGCTGGGATAGGAGGTGCTGCAGCAGGCGCAGAGGATAGACTCGCACATCCCGTCCAGCTTCGCCCGATCCTTCGTGCTATCTTGAACCACGACTCCACGCTCTTGGACTGGGCTACTGGCCATATATGTTACTCATGTCCACCACCAGATCCTTGATCACGTACATGCGCGGCAGAAGGACGGGATCTCGGTGAAGGAGACAAGGCCGTTGTCGCCGTCGATGTTCATGACGCAGGAGCCGCAGATGCCATCGCGGCAGGAGCGGCGGAAGGTGGGGGAGGGGTCGACGTGGTTATTGTTCCCGCACTCTTCGAGGTGGATCTCGTGCTCTGGAGCTGCGGCTCCTCGGGAGTCCAACCGTAGAAGGACTCGCTGAACTTGGGCTTCGAGAATCGGGCTGCTCCTGGAGGAGGCGTAGCAGAACCCTCGCGGCGGCCATTAGAGATTGGATTAGGGAGCGCCGAGAACAAACAAAGTGCAAAATGGAAAATAAGAATAGTGTGATACGGTCACCGCCCGGTTAGTACACGGCATAAAGGTACGTCTGTCGCTGAGAACCAACAGACACCTTTGACAATTTCCCCGTCTGGTTTTTATTGGACATACTCGTGGAACCACGATGTGGGCCCCGCTCTGCCGCTGACAACGCTACAGGTACTTGTGTCGGGTACGCCACGATGGCGAGGAAAGTATGGAAAAAAGAAAGGCGATGTTACATTGAGTAGGAGATGATGGGCCCACGAATAAGCTTCATGACGTGGCATACGATCATTGGAAGATCAACTACCAAGTACAATAAAAATAATTTTCGATCCCAAACGTTTCACCAGCAAAAAAAGTTTATTTACTCGCATTCTACCCCCATTCTACGACCTGCCTGTCGATCGGACACACCGTGGAGCCCACACGGTGAGCCCGACAGACCTTCATTGTTAAATTAATTAAATAATTAAAGTATATTTAATCAAAATTCAGAATTAATTATATATTGGATCTTTAACGGATAGATCCGTATATTTTTAAAAATTATATTAAAAATTTATATTTATAAAAATAACATATTTAATTTCGTTTATCTATTTATTTTATTAATTAAAATATTAGTAGATAATAAATCGAAGTAAGATAGAATTAACACATATTCAGTTATAAATTCTACAATATTTTCATGAAAAATAAATTTAAATATTTTATTATAAAAAAATTAATATAATTTTTAAAATATGAAAATTAAAATACCAAAGATAATTGATATAATAATTCAACCATTTAATTTCTTCATCTTGATTATCTTAATTTGTGATAATATATATTATTATTTATTGTTTGTCTCTAATTATTTCAAAAAATAAACACGGGGTCATTCGATAAAAGAAAAAAAACGAAGAATTGGTTGTATTATGCGTGTCAGTAAGTAGAGGACATTTTTGGTCAAATTCGAACTGGTGGAGTTGACAGCGAGTGTTTCAGATGAAAAAGTTGGGGTCAAATCAAATAAATCATTTCAGAAATTAAAATCGCTCCTTTTTTAAAACAGTATAAGTCAAATCACCAATCATTTCAGAGAAAAATGAAAATTGTTTTTTTTTTACCTGTGTTTATGTTTGTCAGCATCCTAAAAGCACTTTTTGTCACCTCCAAACTGTGTGATCTGACACAATTGTTTCTTAGAAAATAAGAACGCTGGCCCACATAAAAAGTTAGGCCCACTGGGCCTGAAATAAAAAATCACTTTTTCTTTTACTCTGTCAAGTCACCAGTCATTTCAGAGAAAAATAGAAATTGTTTTCATGCTCCTATTTATCAGCATTCAGGAAACACTTTTGGTCAAATCCAGTGAGATTTGACACCAAATATTTCAGAAAAAATAAAAAAGAAAGGAAATCAATCTCTTTCTATCATTTCAGACATAATTTGTTTTCCTTTGTGGGGTCTACATTTAAATCGCTTTCTATCATTTAAATCAGTGATATTTGAAGTACAATCTGTCTTCCTTTTGTGGGTTCAACATTTAAATGACTTTCTGCTATTTCATAAATAAAGATAAAATATTTTCTTTCTCGTATTTATGTTTGTGAGCATTTCAAAGAAAATAAAAAAAAAGGAAATCAATTTATTTTCTCTCTTCGTATTTAATTAGGTCAGCATTTACTTCGATGTTCAACAACTCTGGCCCACGTAACAGGAGTTGGGCCCAGTGGGCCCCGCAATAAGCGGTACTTCAACGCATCCAAATGCCCCGCTACTGCTCTTCTTCCTTCTGACAGCCGAATCGACCGCCGCTGCCACCGCCCAACACGAGGACGAATTAATACCTCAACCTCCTCTCCCCCGGCGCGGCTTCCGACAACTGTCGCAGGCTCGCAGCTTTTCCTGGCCCTTCTTCCCTCCGCAGTCCCCACCCGCCCTCCAAAATAACGATACTGCCCTCCCGTTACACGCTTCCCGAGGCAGAGCCTCCGTGCTGACCTCTCCGCCAGTCCGTGACGCCCGCCGCTCACTCGCCTCACAGCGCCGATGGCGCCCATCCCCCGCCCGCTTATTTACCCTCGTGCCGCTCCCCCGCGCCTCCCCGTGCCCAGGCGCAGGCCCCCGTCCTCGATTCTTCCGAACCCCGGGTTTAGGGTTTCGACGGGGGGTAGTCGTAAAGGTGTCATCTTTATTACTGCTGCGGTCAGCTTCTCTGCTCTCGTATGCTAAGAGATTCAAGTTTTCGGGAGCAACGTCATGCCCTTTGAGGTAATTTCCTTTATACACCATCTACATTTCCTTTAAGACCGATCGCTGCCCTGCTACTGAAGTCTGAAGCGTCATTTGGTGAGGAATGTAAGATACCAGAAGGTGTTTTTAGATTCTTTTTGTTGTGGATTCTTCTATTTTTAAAATTGTTGGCCTTTATTTCGATAATTTTAACAAGTTAAAACCATTCGCGGCGCGTAATTTCCCTTTTTCTTCTTTGTTTATGATGCTTTTCTTATGTGAAGTTGTGATTTTGGAGTTCTTTTTCTATACATTGTGTTAAGCTCAACTCGGTTTGTTGTTTATGTTGTTTTTGTTGCAATGTTCTCGTTCCGCAGGATGTGGAAAGGTGGTGCATTTGCTTCTTAAAGAGCACGAAATGTGAGCTAAGCGGGTTTCCGAACGCTTTAAAAGATGGCCGAGGCAAGAAGGCATTCTGTAGATATCCCGCTTTCAAGAACTCTGGTGGCTCTCAGGAGGGTCCGATCGTTGAGAGATCCTGATACGAGCTCGCTGAGCAAAATTGCTGCGTTGGTTGACAATATGAATCTGGAAACAAGCTCGTGCGGTAGTAGTGCAACATTTGGATCTAGCAATAACAAGCACGATTTGAGTTATAAGGGGAGTTATCATTGGGAACGAAGAAGAATGGTAGATTTAGGAATTGACAGTGAGTCTGATAACAATTGTTTGGCTCCTGATAGTTACATTGCTAAGAGCGGATTGGCAAAGCGCTCAGCTAATGACACACGAGTTCAAGAATCTTGTGGTGGCCATATGAACAGGTCTTACGACTCGAAGTGTGTTCATCGTTGTACCAGTCAATTAGAAAAGGAACTAGATTCACAGCATGGTAGGGAGTTTGAACAGTTTGAGATGATAGGTTTTTCATCTTTAAAACAAACTAGATATGATGCCTTGAGAAGATCATATACAAGCAAAGGAGATGTTTTTATGCGCAATCCTGGGATTCCTTGGGCTTGTGCTAATGAAACTTGTACAAGTGCTTTAGGCCATAAATTATTAGGGCCTGCAACCAAAAATGTTGACCATGTTCTTCCCAACAACAATGGATGTCAAGTCAGTTGTTGCTGGTCTAGGGTACCAAAGTTTCATGATCTAAAACTTCCTTCTGATGTGGAAGGTCAGGAATTTCAGTTGAATTCTCAGATAAATAAAGAATTAGATCACCATGTAAGTGCTTCATATCATGATAGTTTGATGAATTTAAGTGAGAAATATAGGCCGAAATCATTTCATGAGCTGGTAGGACAGAGTGAGGTAGCTCAGTCTCTTCTAGATACCATTTTGAAAGGAAAAATAGCACCTATATATCTTTTCCATGGTCCTAGGGGTACAGGTAAGACCACGGCAGCAAGGATCTTTGCTGCTGCTTTGAATTGCCAGTCTTGCAAGGAACAATGGCCATGTGGATGCTGCCAGGAATGTGTACTTGTCTTCTCTGGAAGGAGCAGGGATGTCACAGAATTAGATGCTTCAGAAACAAATCATAAAGATGCGTTGAAAGTCCTTTCTGAAAGTGCTCTTGTTCCAACTTCCTCATGCTACAAAATCTTCATTATTGATGAGTGCCAGCTTCTGCAAAGGAATATATGGTCTGCCATTTACAAGAGTATCGAAGACCTTTCTCAACAAGTTGTCTTTATTATGATTACGTCTGACCCGGATAAACTGCCTAGTGGCACTCTATCTTGGTGCCAAAGGTATCACTTCCTGAATGTAAAGAGTGATGATATAGTTGGAAGGTTGAAAAAAATATGCCTAGAAGAAAAATTGGAATTTGAAGAAGATGCACTGATCTTTCTTGCGACTGAATCCAATGGTTCTCTTCGTGATGCAATCACCACCCTTGATCAGCTGGCTTTGCTTGGAAAGGGGATAATCACATCTCTTGCATATGAACTAGTGAGTGATAAATATTGCATTGCTTTTCTCTGCGAGGGTGGTTGAAGTTCTTGTTCTACTGTACTAGTTTCATGCATTTGTAACCAGTAAAACAATAGCTAAACTTCATTATCTTTGTTGTTCAGATGGGAATTATATCTAATGATGAATTGCTTGATCTCTTACATCTGGCACTTTCATCAGACACTTCTGGTACTGTTAGAAGGGCTAGGGAGCTTATCAGCTCTGGAATTGATCCCATGCAATTAACATCTCAGCTTGCAAAGCTTATCATGGATATTCTTTCTGGTGGATGTCAATTAGAGCCTTCCAGATTCAGTGAGCTTTTGGAATACATGCTTGCATCTACCATTGTCATATTCATTTTTGTCTTCATATTTTATCTCCAACAGCATGTAAATTTTGCTAATTTTTTAATAATTGTATGGATCTTATTAGAACAATCAACAAATTTACAGTTCAGCTTAATTATTCATCAATCATGCATGCTTCTCTATATTTCTATGCTTAACTATCTATCCGCTTGAGTACGTTTTGATTATCTCTATGCTTATAATGAACACAATATCTGGTATTAGCAAACAGAAAGAAACCTGAACATTATTTAAGATCACAATCTGCGATATACAGTATAGGTGATTGTATTATGCTTGCAATACCTACTATTTATACTATTACAAAATTTACCAAATGTAGTTTCCAAAATTTTACACAAAATTTACCAAATGGACTCTTCGGAAGCAAAGAACACCAAGTCATGTTTCTTGTTTTTTCTGAGTTTTTATACCTTTCAAAAAATCCAAATATTAAATATATAAAATGCAACCTAGCCATTACTTTATACCTGTTGGAGAAACTGAAAGCATGTTATATTTTACGTAGTTGTGTCTGATCTTTATCTTGAAAAGTATTGGCAATGCAGTTGCTGAAGCTGATAAAGAAAAATTGAAGCATGGGCTGAAAATACTGGTTGAAACTGAAAAGCAGTTAAGGACTTCAAAAGATCAATCCACATGGCTTACTGCTGCACTTCTACAGTTTAATACTGGAGAATCACTTCCCCCAACAAACATGAACCCTTTGGAGGCACCTGAAAAAGTTTCATACTCAAGAGGTAGGAGGATGTTCTGGATGTCATTTGTTATTAACCGAATTCACTGTTGTTCTCCATTGTTGATAGTAGTTTGTCATGAATGGAATAATAACCAGGATTCAATTTCAGAGTTCTGAAGATCACCACATTTCTGAAAATTTTGGTGGATGAGTTTGTTAGCTTTGCTAACAAGCAATTGTTGGTTGTCTCCAGATGATGGGCCACCGACTGTAGCATCACCAAAGGAGAGTTTGAAAAGTGCTATTACTGTATGCAACCATCATATCTCTAGCTCTAAATCACATTATGATGCGGCAAGAGAACTAGAAGACATATGGAGGAGAACCATCGAAAATTGCCAGTCAAGTTCACTTAAAAGGTTCTTGTGGAAGGAGGGAAGATTGTCATCAGTCCATGTGTGTGAAGGTAACTTAGCTACAGTATCATTAAATTTTGTCATCTCTTGCTTTAGTGTTCTATTTAATTGGTAATTCTGTAATTACTTACCTAATCGTTTAAGCATATATACTAATCGTTCAGTGTTGCTTGCCTAAATGTTACTTGTATAATTTTGTAAAAGATGATATCTTGTATGGTGTCTACTAGGTTTGTATAATTCACGTGAACAACAAGCATTTCTATTCTATAATTGAAGTTTAAACAGTACTTTTTAATGCTAAATCACCACTGTTGGAAATTCTTTCATGCTTAGATGCCACGTACTCCAGGAAGAAATAGCAAGTAGTATTTCAAGAGTGTTTTTTAGCAGAACTTGGACAACTAAAACAAGGAACTCAGAAGTTTGCATAGTTTGGGACTGTTCTTTTAGATATCTAAATTTTGATGGTGCAGATTGTGTAATACAATTGATTTTTCTTTTCAGAGTAAACTCTCTCAGAGCAATAGAGGGAAGGAAAATAGTAAGGATATGTTAATAAGCCTTGTTATATATAACTTGTGTGTGTTAGTCAAAGCCTTGAGAGTTGGTCTTTCATGTTGAAAGCAAAGATTGTTCTTGAAATGGTGAAGCTTAATTTGGAGTTTTCCCTAAATGGAGTCCATCCAGGATTCTTGATGGTATTGGTTACCTATGTTTGATCTGGTTAGTTTTCTAACTCAAGAATCCGACAAGACATAAGTAGGTTTTGTATTTTCAGAGAAGACTAACTATTCAAGAAAAAGATTTGGAATGTATGAAATCATGTGCAACTCCAGATGTAGCTAAATGGTGATTCTAGAGCATCATGGATGATAGCTGCTCCAAGAAAGCATATTTAGGTTGGCTGAAATTTAAAGTAATGGATCAAATGGTTTCTGCTGAACAAAGATCTAGATTTTTCCATTGATCAGTCTTTCCATGTAACTAATAATATCAATATGTCAAAGGACCAAGAATCTAAGTCTAGTTATTCTTTCACATAAGGTTGTAGTATATAACGCTCGTCATTGGAATAGATGAGGTAACTTCATATAACATATGAAATTTCTGCTATCATCTCTTATAAGTTATGTTTATCTTTGATTCATTTCTCCTCATTTTTCTTTGGCTAATATAAAGGTTTTTAAATTTTGGTGTTACATTATAATTTTTAGGTCTGGCTGTTGCCGAACTCGAATTTTGTCATCCTGATCATGTATCAAGGGCGGAAGAATCCTGGGAACTAATTATAGGTTCTCTTCAAACTGTTCTTGGATGCAAGGTGGATATTAAAATCAGTCTTGTCCCAATAAATAGGAGAGCCAAAAAGAAGTCATCAATCAGTTTGTTTTGCTGTACTGGTAGAAAGCAACAAACATCAGATTTAACTGTGACAAACAAAAAGGATTCCCTTCTGCCTGGAACAAAAGAGGAGACAATTGAATTTTGTTCATCTCATCATAAAGAAGACTTATGTATTAAGCAGCAGTTGCATTTTAATACCATGTATAGTTCAAATTCCTTTGATCAAAAAGTAGTAAATACAAATGCAAGTAATGGTTATGCTCTTGTCACTGGAAATACCATGGTCAGTAGAACAGTACAAGACGGTCTATCCAAAGAATGCAAAGAAGAAACTGATCCATCAATGGAAGTGTGTGAAGGGGGTCAATACGTGAACATCCAAGGAACTGAAGATCAACCTAGCTGCTTTTGTTGCACTCTAAAGTTTTCGAGGTCTTTTTCAGCTAATGCAGCTCATGCCACCACTCTGAGGATTAAACAACTTGACAAGCTGAACTTGTTTAATTCCAAGAAATCATCTTCTGAAGAAAATTTTTGCACAGATGATCCCTATCTTTTCTGCTCTGATACAAATGAACAAGATACCTATAATACAGAAGAGGACAATGGGTGAGTGACTGAATCTCCTTTTGTTGTATTTGCTAATGATCTGAACAATTCGCCATTTTGGAATCTCTCTTTTGACCAAAAAGTTTATCTTTTGCCTGTATGATCAGATGTATATTCCACTAGAGCACAGAAGAGAAAATTGGTTCATTTTTTCATGGATAATTTGATTTACTGGAGTATGCATGACCACATATTCAATGAGGAAATGCTACTGTTCAGGTCTTGACTAGAACTGCCAAATAGGATAACTTTCCTTTTCGGGGAAATTAAGGACAGCAATCAGTAAGCATGAACTAAAGTAAGTCCATTTGAAATTTTAGGGTTGAAGCTACACTTGGATTAATTATGGCTGTAACAATTGATGTGACGTTTGATATTGTGATGATTAAGGATTCCAAATAGCAAACTACCTTCTTCATAGTTCTACAATATAGTGCTGGAGATGTGAAGCTAACATGCAAAAACTTCCTCTCCTATTTCACAAATGTGGTTTCATATTGGTTTCGGAGGAGGCTTAGGAATAGTGGAGCTGACTATGGTACTTATCTAATTTTTCCTGCATTGATTTACCATCAAATGCAAATTTGTTTTCATCAGTATTTGTTGGTTGAGAAAGCTATGCGGTTCCTGTTATTATGTTTCTAGATGTGAGTATCTTATTTAAACCTTGTGTTCCTTGTCAGTAAATTCATTTGCATCTAATACATGGGTTCCTCATTATTGTTCAAATTTATCTGATTTCGATGTTGACATAAATTCCAGCTAATCAGTTGTATAGTTCAAGACATATAAAAAGATACTAATGCCCAGCAAAGTAAATTCATTTGCCCTTTCTTGTCAGGATCCAGGGCTAGATAGGAGGGACTGTGCATATAGAATCATATATTAATCTAATCTCATGTCTTCTGGCAGCATGCATCTCTCTGCCACTTTCATAACTTTGCGTGTTTTTTACATCCTTTATTTTCTCAAAACAAAAGAGAAGGCTGGTGATTTTGGAGCTTCTTCTGAACTATCTTGTTCCTATGCAGACCAAGTACAGGTTCAAGTCTCTGTTCAAGACTGTATTGCTGCAGAGCTTCAATGCCTGTGGAGAAGGTAATTGTTTGTTTGCTTGACAAGTTAGACATGAATTTGATGTTTTAGGGCCAGTTTAGTTTGACAAGTTCGTGTTTGATCTTTCTGCAAGGCATCCTTGTTTTCTGTTTTACGGGCAAGCACTCTATAAAGTGCTTGTAGCAATAGCAATAGCAATAGCAATAGCAATATATAGAGTGGCTAATTGGCTTCATACATGGCTTCCTGCTTGATTTCTGCAAGTGTAAGCTTGTTTCTTTACTACGACCTGGAAAACCCATGATTTGAATCATAGAACTCGTGTATCCATTTGCTAGAAGGTTTTGCTGACATTCCTGTTAATTTACCCACGATAGCAGACAACGATTCTTGAGCACGCAGCTGATGTTTAACAATGAATGCTGTTGCAGGCTGGGCCGAAGAGGCAACAGGACGGTAGGCCTCGGTTGGTTGGCTCGCTATGGCCATGTGCAGAGCAAGCATCACCCGAGACTACTACAGCAGAGCAGCATTCTCCAGCTCTGAAGCAGAAGGCCAAGCGAAGGCCATAATCTTGACCGAGGGAGGGAGGGACGGTGAGTTATGATGCAGGATTTCGCTCGTAGATGAAAGAAAGATGGGGAAAATGCTTTGCTCGTGACGGATATGTACTCGATGATGTTGTTTGATGACGGACACTTGATGATGTTGTTCGATAGAGATGTAGTCAGCCAATATAAAATGTGCGTTCATTTCCTCTACGATCCCCTGCTCGTCTGTGTGCAGAAGACGCACGAATCTTGATGCGTCAAGACCTGTCTGCAGCCATCGGAGTCACGCCGGCAGGTCCTGCGAGATAACAGGAAAATATTAGCTAAAACTCTGCAAAGAAAAAAGAATAAAGGAGGACTAACATTGTCCTCCTTATACCGACCCAATAGATCAGTTTAGTGCCAAATTTTACATATGAAGGACTCATTCCTCGTCCATGGCAATACCGCTACCACCATAATAACATTGTCCACAACTAATCCCACACACACACACACACATATATCTCTATCAAGAATAAAAATGCTAAACCGAAACCAAAAACCAACCCTTATGCTACTCTGAACAAAGATGCTAAGTATTCGAAGAGGAGAGAGAAGCGTCGGATTTCAATCCCACATATTACAGACACTAAAATCAACGGAGAATGGGAAACTGCCGCCTTCTTCAACCACCAACGGAGGAATTGCCTAAAAGGATGCGAGGAGCCAACCGTGCCTCCTTGCATGCTCCACATACAGCAGGAACTTTTGTTCTGCGTCGGGGATGTCCAGAGCCAAATCATCAAGACCATCTCTAACCCTAGAGAGCCCTTTAGTCATTTGGTTGATGGTGATCAGCCCTTCACCAAAACACTCCTGCAGCAACTCCAAAAGTCTGTCCTTCTTCTTCTCCATGGCCATAACTATAGCCTTCTTTACCACCTCATGGTTGAAGAAAGGCATTCCCAGATCACGGATGCACTGGCATGCTTCTCCTACATCACCTCCACTGTCGTATTCTTCCAGCAGCTTTATTATCTTGTCCTTGGCATCCTCCACCGCCCAGCCAGTGCCACCGCCCCAGCATCTCAGAAGTCTCTCGCCTGAGTGTCGGGCAGATACAAGTGAGCGAGCTATGCGAACAGTTTCACTCCCACTGCAAATGCAGGGCAGCTTGTTGCTTATCTCCTCCAAGTTGAGCGGTGCTAAGACATCATCAATTACAGCCCTAGCTAAAAATAGTGCGAGCTCATCTGAGGCATCCAATATGTCCAATGTTGTATCCTCAGCTGACTCGAGCAGCATTATGAACCCGTTAACAATGTCATCTCCTGAGAATAGTTCCATGCTAAGTGCAGATAGCAGAACAGACGCCATCTCCTTCTCCCTGTGCTTCCTGTCCATGGCAAGTGTTATTAGTTTCTTGATAAAAATAGGGTTGTATTCTGGAGCAGCTAAATCTTCAAGGCTCCTAATAAGCTCTGGTATGTCATCAGAGAGAAAGTATTCATGTATGATGATAACAGCTTCTTCCTTGTACTTCCTCAACTTCTCATAACCTTCATCTCTGTGTTCCTCATCTGAAACTTTCGACTTGAGGAAAGAAGGGTCAAGCCATCCGTCAGATATCGCTTTTGGAACTATTGTCTGAAACAAGGATTTTGCAGTGGGAATATCCAGAGACAGGTCATCAAGACTCTCAGCAAGCCGAGAGAAACCTCTGGTCATCTGACTAGGACTAATTAAGCATTCTTCTGAAGCTTCCCTTAAAAGCTTTAATATAAGATGCTCAGATGTTTGAATTTCCATTGCAAGAATCAGAGCCCGTTTCACAACCTCATGATGGAAGAAAGAGACTCCCAACTCCCTTATGCACCTACAAGCTTCTACAGTGTCTCCATGCTCGTTATATTCCCTCAACAATTCTGTCATCTTCCTTTTAACCTCTTCGACAGTGATATGAGTGGTACCACCCCATCGACGCTCAACTAACTCTGCATGGTGAGGAGCTGAGAGATAGCTTTTTTCAGCGGTTTGAATAACCTGAAGACCCGTAGAGGATTCAGAAAGTGTTCTCATTGCTTTCTTGAGAAAGGCGGGAGGTAGGATTTCATCAACAACTGCACGGGCTATAAACAAAGCCAGCACATCAACTGCATCAAGTATGTCAAGAGCCAAGTCATCAATAGACTCAAGTAACATGAAGAATCCCTGGCTAATCTGACCTGAACTTATCACATCAGCATACAAAGCGGATAGCAAAACAGATGTCATCTCTTTCTCTTTGTCATGCCGGTCCATTGCCATGGAGACAAGTTTCTTAACAAACAAGTGATGGTACTCATCACTCCCAAGATCTCTAAGTTCTGTGGCAGCCAATTCTACATCACCAGTGGTAAAATATTCCTCAATGATTGTCGCTGCAGATTTTTTATAGTCATCAATAGGGTTAGTAACGGTGGCACCCACTAGTTCATATGGTTCCTGAAATTGCAAGGCAAAATCAACATAAATGAAAGTGTGACCCATATCACAAGTTTGTTTCTGAACTCTGCTAGATTGGAATTTGTTATATCAAACTAAGAGGAGAAAGTGAATGTGCAAAACACAGCAATATGCAAATATACATAAATACCTCTACTTATGCATATGAAAAAATATGTATTTGTGCATAGAGATGGTGAATATGAGAGAGGTGCATACCTCACCACTATCATAATTAGGATCATTCCGGTCAATGCGTGAAACAGGATTAGTATCCAAGAGCTTGCCCCATGTTCCTTTGCCACCAGCACCATCTGAATCCACATCGTGGTGAGGAATTATAAATTTGTTAGGACAATATAACTAATAAAGAACCATGAGAACAATTAATTGTTTTACATTGAATGGAAAGTTTAAATCACTACTCATGCACATAATAGCAACACAATGCTATAGATGTTAAATTTATCATATATAATGAATAGAACAAGACCAAGAACTACTTATTCTTTAAAGTATAAATTACTAATAAAAAAGGATTAATCAAGTCCATGATTTTGTAAGTTCATTCCTTGGATCAATCATTTCTATAGTGTCCCAAAATGCAAAAGAAAAATGAGTCATTGGCTATCTCTCAGCAAAAATTAACTGATTCCTGTGTTTCTTTAAAACAATTTCAACCACTAAATATTAACAGAAGTTAGTAAGACCAAGTTAGTACCAGATGATATATTATCAGATAAACAATAATTCAAAAAACAAGACTGGTTAAGCAATAAAGAAAACCAGTTCACCTGTCGTATAACTGAACGTTAAAGAAGTGTACATCAAGCCAGAGATTATATTCTTTGTTTTTTTTTTTTTGAATATTGGATAAGAGGCAAAGAGATACTTCTTAAAAAGAAGGTAAGTGTAAGTGTGTTTTTTTAATCAATAAAAGAAGTATGCCCAGAATAGTGAAAATAAGTTTAGCTGGAAAAAATAGTGAAATAAAAACCATGAGTTTCCAATCAAGAACTACGATTTTTTTACACTCAGATATGTTATCCAGTTAAATTTTAAAAGTTTGTAACTTTAAGTTTCTATAAAGGCATAATACCTCTATTAGTTATTATTGTAGAATTGTCCTGTATTGTTGAACTACAATACCTAATTCCTTGCAACCTTCTCTTAGAACTGAAACCAAAAGATATGTGCCCAACATACATCGTACCCACTGATATGACATGACATTGATTTTTCAAAGTCAACAAAAGAGTACAATTAACACTATAGGCTAAAAGTAAATAAGTATTGAAATATAAAAGGCGACAAATATATATATATATATATATATATATATATATATATATATATATATATATATATATATCATTTGAATATATCTAAAAAAACAACATATACCATAAACTGAAAATGCACATGAAAACAGATATAAAGAAGTCCAATAAAAAAAGATGCATATTATTATCCAACCTTTTTTGACTTAAACTTTATTGGTCACGATAGTACCAACAAAATAATAGGCTACAATTGTCTCTCGCACATAGTTATCAGCTTAACGATTGTTCAAATTATCTGAAATGCAGAAGCCAAAAAGTAAAAGGCAATAGCTCTGAGTGTTACACAGACATGTGGCAGGTTTATCATCAGAGAGGTACAACAATTATTTATCTAAAACCTGCAATATGATCACTTGTTATCAGCAGCCTTAAGGGGAATCATAGGAAAGTGTAATTACAGTTTCAAGACAGACATCTTTTGTCTAAGATGGCAGAACTTTTGTCATCATAGTAGTGAATCTTGCTCATATATTAATATCCTGAATTTGCAATAAGGTGAATATGCACCAAATCAGTTCTCCTCTAATTCTGTAAAATATAATCTCTGGAACCAGTTAGTCACTACTTTACTGAGAATGCAAGATTTATTCCACTCCATGCAACCTAAAAGAATTCAAATGTAATTCACTCCACAACTTAATTTCAAGGAAGCATCAAGGAGAAAATTATAAACCAAAAACGATATGCACACTTCCAAGTACAGAAGATTTATTACATGGCAGGCTACTGAAAGTGTGAAAATGGCAGAGTTCAAGAACTTGTGCATAAACAATCCATATGAATGACAATAAGAGTAACAAAACAACCTAAGTCAGAAAAAAAGGCAGAACACAGTAATTTACAAATTTCCTTATGCAACAATTGCACATAACAGGTATCACAGATAATATGACCAAAAAACACAGGTAGCCCAATCTGAATCAGCTAATAGAAGGCGGTAACTATTCATCTTATAAACCAACCAATCCAGTCCAACTCAATGAGCACCAAATTTGTGAATTAAAACTTTTGCCCCAAAACCAGGCCTGGGTGGATGGTATTGGATAAATTTGCCAAAATGGTTTTAAGTTTATAGCATATTTCATAATATTTTTATCACTATAATTTAGAACTTAAATTATATTATCCTTGACAAGTTACAGAGGATAAACATGGTGACATACACAAGGTTGTTTCACTAAGATTTGGTGATCATGAATTTAAATCACTGCAACAACCACAATATATATAGGGATAAAGTTGCTTAACTCTAACCTCCCAAAAGCCTTAATGCAGGAACCTTCTCAACTAAGCTATCCTCATGTCGTATATGCTTAATTAAATCAAATGATTTAAATCTATAAAATGCTTTAATAGAGTTGCATTATAATGGGTCCCTTTGGCCACAAAATGCCTTCCCGACCTGATGTAGGTCATAAATGAGAGCTCATGTCACCCATGTTGGTAATAAATATTAATTCATTCCGCTGCTGTACCACCATGACAGCAAAAAAAGGCCAACCCTCATTTTAGACATACTATGAAAAGTGTATGTAGCATGTAGCCTATGCTGCCTGCCACTCCACATGCTGATTAGGTTGGAATCAATAGGTACACACCTCAAACCTTGAAGTCTGACATCTCATCTGACATGATGATTACTTGTGGAAACATGGGTTAGGTTGGCTTCTCGGTTTGACATTGGCAGGATGATAAAAAAGGAAAGTGTCAATTAGGAATCACCTATCATTAATAGGGTCTTAAAACTTTAAAGTATTAATTAGAGGCTCTTCTATATCAGCAAGATTCTGGGCATAAACAAAAATTTGTTAAAATTTAACACAATGATCAAGGGTTCTCCTATTCTTAATTAGGTTATGCTTGGTATCATTAATTGATTATAGAATAATAAACAAGTGCTTTAGAATAATGATTGATCATTCTGCATGGCAATGACCCAAGAATGGTTTCTGGTGTGCACCTGAGCATCCTACAGAGCAATTTGGTGAAGCAAAAGGAAAACAGATTCCTGTCAAATAAAGCAGCATCGAAAGTAGAAACTATTCTAGACATAGATAGCAAGAGGTTGATGTATGTATTTTGTCTCATTCACAAAATCAATGATAATATACCAAGCCCATCATTGCTGTAGAGTTTACATTAGAAGTCAGACACTCAATTTAATATACAATTGATAATAAGTCTACTGAGGGTGAGTCTAGAGGGCATGATAAGGTTGCTTCTTGCCAACCTGGATAACCATGGTTCAAGGAACTCTCTCTTGTAGGGGTAAGGCTGCATATAATGAATGCCTTGGGGCATGATAAGGTTGCTCATCTCCAACCAGGGTGACCATGGTTCATCACAGAAACAATTCTCTTGTAGGGTAAGCATGCATAAATTGAACACCACAACCCCCCTGAGCTGTCTTCCTTTTATTGATAGATAGACCACAGAGGTCTTCTATAATAGTCTGTCAAAATGATTGATATCAACCGACCCCTTCTGTTACAATGATACTTCTCACCCTTCTTCAACCCCCCATCCTTGAGGCATTAATTAAAACTCTCTAATGTTCTCTAAAGAGGGTTCGAGCAGAACTCCAATTCATACAAAGAAATGCTGACAGAAAGCAAATCACCAAAGAGTAAGAACCAAAATTGCAGAATTAGGCTTGGATTTAGAAACTGCACAGGTATACAGCACTAGTCTTATTTAGATTCTCTCCCACTAAAAGCGTGCTCTATTTCTCTTTGATTGCATCCAGTCAAGAGACATAATTTCAAGAAAGTTTGACTCTCTACTAACTGATGAAACCAATGTTTAAGGTTCATTCCATCTCACATGTGTAAGACATGTTGACATGTGGATGTGTTGTACAAAGTTTTGGTCATTTTGGAGAAATTGATGAGAAAATTTTGACCATTCATGCATCCCTTTGATAGTGACACTGGTAGAAAAGCACCCAATAGCAAGTACTCAACTGCAACTAAAGCAAATTCTATGATTTTGAACAAGTGCACCTTAGCCATGCCATATATCGTGACATGTGGAGTTATTACAATCCAATGAAAAATGTATTAGGTTGGCACATCCATCCACAACCAAATCCTCGTCATTTGGTAAGTAAATAAACCACCTTAAAGGAGAGTCATACAGTCCCTCAAAAGCTGAAAACAAGTAGATTCTTGACCCCACCTCACTAATTGTTTCGCTTCCTTGAATTGCCTCTGTAAATCGTGGTGTCATAGATCGGTAGACAGCTTAAAAATTATCTCTCTTATTCATATACTAAATCACCAGAACGTTCAAGAAGTGACAACTATGCTAATTTTCTGCATATAGTTCATATTTCGGATCATCCAACATTTCTACGGAGAAAAATCCCAAAAGTACCAGAAAGATGCAGAGAAAGCCGAAACAGAAGAGTTACCCACCCTTCTTCACTCGTACTAGCTTCCCTGAATGCGAGCGCCGGATATGCCTCACGCCAACAGCCGTAGCCCTCCCGCCGCCGCCGCCGCCCCCCTTAATATGGAGCTCGGGGAGCACCATCTTGCTGGGCGATCTGGGCGACGAGGATAACACCTCCGCGTTCTGTGTCGCTATCTTCAACATCTCCCTCTGCTCCTCCGTCAAAAACCCCTCCTTCTTCGGCGACGCCATCCTTTTCCCCCCAATCGCTCCACCAGCCTACAAAGAACCCTCACATCAAGCGCCTCTCTCCAAAACCCACCCAAGCAACCAAAAAATAATCCCCAAAAAGGTACCAGTCCGCAACTTCAAGCACGAGACGCCAAAAAAGTACCGGGAAACGGGAGAGAAAACGACCGATCGATCAAACGGCAGTACCGCGACCGAGACTTGGCTCGGAGATGTCAAGCCAAGAGGAGGTGGAGGCGGCGAATGGGATCGGAAGCCCTCGCGGAAGGAATCGCTTCTTCCAGCCGCTCGGATCTCGACAGGCGTCCGATCTCGCCGGCGAAGTGGATTTGGAGTTTAGGCGAGAGAGAGAGAGAGAGAGAGAGAGAGAGAGAGGTGGTTATATATAGGGAGGCGGTTTCGGTTTCGAGTACACGTCAGGGGGTGAGGAGAGAGAGAGAGAGTCGCCTGAAGCATATCCCAATCCGCTTTACACGTGGCCTATTCCGTTCCCGGACCGAGTGGACTGCCCCTGGCCCTTTAAGGACGCCGATGCGGTGTTATCGGGTCGCCCTACGTATACTCCGAATCCAATAAGGTAAATCTGCAATGTTATCGGGTGGCTACGTATACTCCGAATCCAATAAGAAAAATCTGCAATGTTATCGGGTCGGATCTATTTCTATTCGGCCAAGTGCCCTCTTTCTCTTATGAACTCGATGCGCTAATTATGTGGTCATACCAAGTTGGATCCAGATCCGATATGCTGGGTTATACAGCATTATCGGGTCGAATCCATTCAGGATTTCAATGTAGCCATTAGCATATCTAAACGATTGGGGTCAAATATTGGGTTTTGGGCCATTTTGTCTGATTATATAAGATAATATTTTTTTTATTTAAATCGAGAGCATTTAAATCTCTTGTCATAAATGATTACCCATCATTCTGTAATTTATTGGAGTTACATCTAATTATTCAAGAAAATATTTTTTATTTTCATATAAAATATTAGTAGTGTAATTGGATACATGAAGCATGGTTGTCCTCCTTAATCACTTCCCAACTTTTCATAAGGTATTGTGATGGTGCAAATATTGATTCCTTGATCTGATATAAAGATCACCTCGGCTTCATTTAACAATGGCAAATGTTCGAACACCAACTATGATATTGATTGAGATTTAAAAACTTAAATGATTCAGTCTAACGGAAAAAGTTACTGATATTGTAGTCAATCTAGTCAACATGGTCTAGATCCATATACACAATTGTTCCAGATATTTTCAAGATAGAAATGCAAAGCTCTCGATACGTTACATACGTGAAAATCAAGATTAAAAAAGATTTTTTAATTCGATCCCTTTGATACTCAAGTTAGTAACCCGAGATATATATGAGAGCGGACGTGAGTGATCAAAAAAGGTAAGCCTCCTCTCGTTATGTTGAAGATGATTGTTTATACTTGGTCGTTAAATGATATAATATTTCATAAAATATTCTACGGCGAGGTAGCATCTAATCATCTCCAATGACATCCCCTTGGCCTCTTGCCCACATGGGCGATAAGGGGGGTAGCCTATAACCGTTTAAAACAAGACTCGAGTAGAAACTACATGGGCCTAACAATATCATGCATAGTATATGGTCTCTATGATATTAGATGGATGAGGTGTTAGGATCGTAAAGGCACTAAGAGGGAGTGAATTAATGCTTTCAAAAAATTTCGGTTTGAAAGTTTTGATCGATGAAACCCATATGAAAATATGATTAACAAAAAATAAGTAAGGATTGCTTAGTAAGTAAATCACTATGTAATTGTAAATCAAGAAAAAAAAGAAATGCAAACTGATTTATAGTGGTTCAGTCATCCCGACCTACGTCAACTCTCGATTCCTCTTCCTTCAAACCCATCGGCTTTCATTATCAATCTTCTTTCAATAGGTGAAGATCAGCTACCCTTGTTACAACTATTTTTTCCTTTTCACAGGTTTAGGAGAGAACTCTTACACTCCTCTTTTATAAAAAGATTTCTCACCTCCCGTAGAATAACTTCTAGACTCAAAGAGGAAGATCAATAATTCTCAAGAGTTTATAATACTTTAAAATCACAAGCTTTCATACTCTTGCAAACAAGCATGAGAGGGGTATTTATAAGCCCCAAATAGCTTCAGAAAAGGAGCCAAAAAATTAAATCCCTGGGTTTTCAGTGTACTAGCGATACCACCGCCTACATTGGGCGGTACCACCACTTGAGAGATTGTGTTCTGGTGGTACCACCGTCAGTCTAGGCAGTACTATTGCTTGACCATGGCAATACCATTGTTGGGTTTTTTTTCTCGAAAAAATACATTCCATACTTTCCAGCTCACAAGCGATACCACCGCTTGGCCCAACCTTAGGTTGCTGAATTGGCCTTCCAATAGGCCCAATTCAATCTTGATTCAGGCCCAATGGGCTTCTAATATTCAACGCAAAACTTAAACTAACTCAATTAGATACTTAAACTATTTTGATCAATATATAACGATTACAATCATGAAGCCTACGCTATCCGACATGTCATTAGTTCATCCGGTACTTCGTCCAAATATTCAACGCATCATCTTTTCCTTTGATGTATTACCCAATCCATCAGCATGTTGACCTCCCGCAACATCTAATCTACTTGGCGCAATGCCCGATTCTTCTGGCCTGATGCCCGATCTTTGATATGATGGACTCTAACCCAATGTTTGATTTTTCTACTTCAATCGATATGCTTTTATATGATCGAAATTTATCCCGCATCACTTTTCTTATACACTTATTAGTTCATAGACTCACCAATTGATTTTATCATTAAAATTTGAGATTCAATAATCTCCTCCTTTTTTATGTTGGCAATCAATTGGTGGAGTTTTAACTAAACTCCCCTAGTTTATATATTATATTGAAATAAACCCAAATTCAGAAAATGATAACCTTCTAATGTTAGTTTTTAAATTCAAGTCGAAATAATTTTAATGATAGTGACTTTCGAAGGTTGTATCAAAATAATTATTGCACACTTCGTATGCATAGTTAAAATATCATTGTATGCATCATAATATCAAATCATGAGTTAAGATATCATTGCATGCATAATTCCAAATCATCATAACATGAGTTAAGATATCATTGCATACATAATTTCAAATCATCAAAGTACATTCAACTTCTCCCCCTTTATCATCAACAAAAAGGAAAAATGTATAAGTTTTTACTTCTCTTTGAAATGTGTAAGTTAGTAAGTTTTTGCTCTCTTAAGATCTGTAAGTTAGCAAGTTTTCTCTTTGAAATATGCAAGCTACTACTTCTTTTTCCCCCTTTATTTTTATAAAAAAGAAGGGAAGGATGGTGTAAAATTTACATCAATATTCAAAATGAAAGATATTAATATCAAAGATAAATTTAAATCATGAGAGATCAATTTGATGACGAGGTATTACAAGTCATGAATATAAAGAAGTCATATAAATCTCAAGTCATGAATACTAAAAGATCACAATTCATTTTGATAAAACTCTTTTTTAGTAAATAGTAAAAAAAATGAATCTATTTTTTTAGTAAATAGTAAAAAGAAATCTTAGGAGATCAAATAGTAAAAGATTTTGATTCATACAAAAGAAATCTTAAGTCATGAATAACGAGAAATCAAGAGAATAATCCATTTGAAAAAAAATCATATGAGAAAAATTCATACGTTTAGAAGATTCAATATGTTTAATTCTCTTCTAATAAAATTGAATTGTTCCTCATTCAATCGTTTAGTAAAAATATTTGCTAATTGATATTTTATGTTAACAAAATCTAAATATATATCATGATTATTAACGTGATCCCTAATTATTGAATCTCATATTTTGATGATGAAACCAATTGATAAAATTATAATCTAATGTGCGTTTAAGTGACACAAGATAAGCTTCAATTAGAGAAAGATAAATCAATTAAAGCAGTGAAATCAGATGTTGGGTCGGAATAAAACATGTTAGAAGATTGGACGTCGGGCTGGAGGACTAGTCGACGTGTCGACGTAAGGCTTCGTGCCATGAGTTCGGGCATCAGGCTAGAAGAATAAAAAATTATGCCAAGAAGATCGAATATTGTAGAGGCCAACATATCGATTGGGCAATACGTCGAAAGAGAGAATGATGCATCAAAAGGTTGGACAATGCGTCGAAAGATCAAACGAAATGCTAGATGAACCAATGATATGCCAGACAACATGTGATTCATGCTTGTAATCAATTATATTTTGATTAAAGTAGTCTAGATTATAATTGAGTTGGTTTTGAGCATAATTAGACTAACTCAATTAAGAGCCCATTAGGCTTGATCTAGAGCTGATTTAGGCCCATTAGGAGGCCTATTCAATGATCCAAAGGTTGGGTTGAGCAGTGGAATCGCTAGATTATCATGGACTTAGCTAGAATTGCCTAAGTCGTTAGGCACCCTTGCGGCCAAGACGCGAACTTAGCTTGCGTTGCCTAAGTCACGAAGCACCCTTGCGCCAACTTCTCGGACTTAGTTGGGATTGCCTAAGTCTTGACATGCCTTTGCGATATGCATCCGCAAAGGTCAACCAATTTGCAACCTCACTCATGTCCCTAAGGACCTGTAAAGAGAAAATTGATTAGTTCGAAGAACGAGCGATGGACAAGTCTCGATGTCTCGCGAAGAGGGAAGCTTTACAAGCAATTTAGCAAGCACTTTGCGTGCATGAGAGAAAACAGAAAAAGGAGGAAAACAAGGACTTTAGAAGGCTAAACGAACAACTGTAAGTCCACAAACAACTACTCACCGGGTGCCGGGCGTGAAGGTAAGTTCCCGTCAAGAAAACGTGCGAACTTGTCATGATTGTTCAATGCTCGACAATATACCGAAGCCTCATCCAATCCTATGCCACCTGGGGGTTTCCAGGGTGCTAAGATTGCTAACATTTTATGCGCTGCAGAAAACAGCCCATGACACTCGAAAACGAAGCCATTTTGGGGCTTTTTGGCCCGGCACGGTGAGGAATCGCACTATACACTGCAACCTTTTCAAACATGTATTTTTACAAGCAAAAACACACAAAACCAAGGCAAAACAGACTACAATATCTCTATTCAAGCATGCAAAAGTGACGAATGGTTCATTGAACGAAGTTGTTGCGAGTGCGCGACAACCGTTCGTGACAAGATGCTTAGTCTCTAAGAGCCCAGTCTCCGAGATTGTCAAGCGGTGGTATCGCCAAATTGGGCAGTGGTACCACCTAGTGTCAGGCGATGGTACCGCATAATATTGGTGGTGGTACCGTCAGTACCTCGAAAACCCGAGTTGAGACCATTTTGGCTTCAAA